TGAAATTGAATGGCCTAAGTCTAAGCATCATGGTAACAAATCCACCGGAAAAAAACATGATGCACTCTGCAACGTCTTCTGGGCTGTTTCACTATCAGTCACTCGACCTTCCTTGCCTGGAATCCATCATTCCTTCCTGTTTTGATCTGGATAGGATGGTTATTTACTGTTGATGTAAAAACCACATTACACGTGTTTCTATGCCGTAGCCATATTTACAGACTCTTTCAGGCCCCAAACAAAGCAACTGATGATTCGCAACTTTCAGGATTCACATCCCCAAAAAAAAACATATCACAACTTCGCGCCAACCCGGACGTGAAAAACGACCTCTTATCTGAACATCTCTGAAGAATATATTGACTGGGATATACATAATTTACATGTTTACCTACCACATAGACATGTGGAAAAACGCAACCCTTCTACAACTCCAGCGTGGTCAAACGTCAGGGTTGCAGCGAATGTTTAAACAATTGCATATAATTGCCATAAATTCATATATATATATTTATATATATATAGATTCGTGTTGTTATTCCTGTATTGGGGGCTGCCACCGCGAAACCAGTCGCGAAAGCCACGTGCCTCTTCACCGGCCGGGCGTTCACTGGGAATTTCCCAGTTGCCCGTCGTGTCTGGCGGCAGTTTCACCCTTTTGGGCTCCTGGAAAGCCATGGGGGGTGACCATGGAGCCACAGAGGACCCCAGTTGTGATCATGTAACAAAAGAGATAGAAAACATACGCAAATCATTGAAAATCCATCGGGTTCCCGAGTTTTTTTGAAATCCCCAATTCTGTCAAGTTTTGGATCATTATGATCAAATTATCCCAAATGATATGAAAAGACTTTCAACCCACCCGTTTAAAATCAGTTTGCCATTTTTTTCTGAGAGAATCGTCCAACTCTCAGGGGTGGAACATGAAACCTATAAAACCAGGATGCAACTGAGATGGGCTCGAAGCATGGAGAGATTTGATCTACACTAGGGTTTGACGTCACGCACTAAGCCGATGTGGTTTGGACTGTGGAAAGATCTGGCAAAGTAATTCTCATGGGGCATGGGCAAATGATGGACATGTTTAATTTTTGCCAGCGGGGGGAAAACCGCGCCAGTAGTCGTGCACGTTTTTAAAAACACTCATTTTTGAAGGGGTCCGGGAGGGGAGGGGTAATAACGTTCATGTTAACTTGCGTCACATGCAGGGGGGATGTTAACGTTCATGTTAACTTGTGTCACATGCGCATGCTACGTCACGTCACTGGGTTGGGGGGATGTTAACGTTCATGTTAACTTGCGTCACGTGCACATGCTATGTCATGTCACTGGGCTGGGGGGATGTTAACGTTCATGTTAACTTGCGTCACATGCACATGCTATGTCACGTCAGAGGTTTGGGAGGGATGTTAACGTTCATGATAACTTGCGTCACATGCACATGCTGCGTCACGTCACTGGGTTGGGCCTCCAAAAATGGACGCAAGCTGTCAGTGATCAACAGGATTGTCAAAATAAAGGGGATCCAAGGCTGAGCCGCTGTGCGCTCACTGCGGTCGGGGCGGACATAATGCTTCCTCGTGTGAAAGTCTAGGACAGAAGCTGTTGTCATTCTTGCGGAAAAAAACATTCTGCGGCTCAGTTACAAGACTTTTGGAGGATGAACTCCAAAACCAAAAGCCTTTTGGGGGTCACTGGTCGCTCCTTGAAGAACCGCATGGCGATGTGAGAGGGAAAAAAAACATCGCGCACCTTTTCAAGAGAAATTTCTCTGTAAATTACAGGTCATCATCAAAAAAGCACTTCAAATTCCCGGGGAATTTTAAGCCTATTTTGGAGAATGAATCAGTAGTTTCGCTATGGCGAAAACAACATTTTTTCAAAACGCTCACAACCGCTGGCGCGGTTTTCCCCCCGACGGGATGTTTAAGGAAAGAGAACGAAAATATATGAAATAGTACATAGTGTCATCATAATCATATACCCCACACTTCACCCATGTTTAAGGAAGAACCGTATGAATAGTGCGATATACAAATCATTAACTTCAAGTAGCTAGTGAACCCGGGTTGAATAGCAGATGAAACAATGATATGAGTAGATTGCAAGGCTTACCCTCCGGTAATCAGTTTCATGGTTGGCTGAATGAAACATCTATTTATAGGGGATTTTCCGGGAACATGAGCCGATGATTTAAAGAATCGGCATGGGGGGAAGAAGCCATGATTCATGTGGTCTCGGGGATACGCCATGGGTTTTACCTTTTATAAGCGGTTTATTTTAATTTTATGGTTATGATAGGGATTTTTTTGCTGGAGAATGCCTGAACTAAACGGGCATCTATATGCATCTATATATATATATTATGCATCTATATATATATATATATTTATAATATGGGAAAATGATGACTATAGTTTGGGAATTTTCCATTAAACTATGGAACTGATTGCCGGAGGATGCCCGGTCAGAAATACACCATGTATGAGTGTATCTCACCATGTTGGTCGTCCCGCTGGAAAAAAATGATTGAAACATGAATTCTATATCTATGCAGTAAGTAGTTATACTTTCTACAGTATGCGGTTTTTCACATATCATATATATATATATGATATGTTCATATATATATATAATATGTTCATATATATATATAGTATAATAATAATAGTAATGATAATGATTACATATATTATTATATTATTGTATATGACCTGCTCAACCCTGGTTGACCCAATTTATCATGTGTTTGGAGGGTGCTTCACCACTGCTGCGGCCCGACAAGCGTCGCCTTTGATTGTTTTTCCGCCTCCAAAGGTTGATTGAGGTGGAAAACATGAGGCAAAACAATAAGGTGGTGCCCCATAGTTAGCTAAGTTGGTTTATAAGTCCAATATCTAGGGTTGATTAGGGGGATATAACTATAGTTAATGGGGATTATAAACCAACTTATAACTATAGTTGATAATTACAGGAATTAATTGTTTATCCATACAATTATGATCAATTATGGGAATATCATTGGGATATTATGGGGATATTTTTGGGGAATATCATTGGGAATATTACAGGAGTTGCCACAATTATATAACGGAATTAGGAGTACAAAAGTACGGTAAAATACCGTACTTTCGTACTCCTCCAGATCCCGATTCCGCGAGGATTCGGATCCTGTTCTATAATTAATTTTTGGCTGTTCTATAATTAATTTGTGCTCCTCAACTTCCGTTCTATAATTGCGGCCATGACCATTTGGATATTATGTACATACATGATATCTACTTTGTGTATGTTTCTGGTACCCCGGAAGAATGTACATAGAAACCAGTTTTTTAGAACGGAACTATTGCAAATTTAATTATAGAACACGCAATTATAGAACAGAATTGGTAAATGCGAGAAATATGATGAACACAAAATGATGGAACACAACAAGACTTCAAGAATTATAGAACGACAAAAAAGTTAGGAGTAAGTTGAGAGTAAGTTTTTTCCCAACGTTCTTAGGAAACAGGAATTATGGAACAACAGGGTACGGTAAACAACCGTACTTTCGTACTCCTCAGCTTCCGTTCCACAAATAGGTGGTATATATAAACCATTCCCAGTCATGGGTGATTTCCACATCTTGGAAACTAACATAGCTATTCAACATGGCTTATGAGAATAGTTTATTTACCTATATTATTTTAATGGTGATTTCCGATAGCAAACTGTTAGTTTACCAGAGGGTGCCATCTTGGAAACACGGTGTTCTTTCTTTTTCAATGTGACGCATGATCTTGCTATATTTCTGTTTGATAAAAACCAAAGAGTTACGGCATTTTCCCAAACACGGACCCAATTTGTTCAGGGTTTTCTAATGACTGGAAATCTACATCCCCAGTAATGCTGGCAATCGAGCCGGAAGGATTCTCCACAAAAAAAGAGAAAGTGCTATCACATGGTATCACCATGAAATTGGCACCTCAGCAATAACCCATATCTGCATTTGGGTAATGTTCGAGCTAAATGTTACGAACTCTACAGTGTACATGAAGCACATGGCATATGGGTGTGTGTGTGTGTTTGTGAGTGATAATATGAAACGAGCACTTCCGAATTTGATGTTCTATCATATTTTTTTCAAGGAAAATGGTCGTAAAAATATGACCTAATAATTACCCTATTTTCGCACACACGCAAAACCTATTCATCATCTATGGGGTAAATTCTTCTCTTTGATGGCTAGATCCAAAATTCAGTTGGTAAATTATAGATTGATTAATTGACGTTCCATTTTTCAGCCGTTGCCATCAAATGGTCTGGGGCTGTATGAGACCAACAGACCAACATCAATGATGTGTAAAAAAGGTCCACATTCCGCCACATTCAAGACCAAACCGATTGGATTCCACTGGAAGTTTGTGAGTGTCTTAGCGAAACCAATTTATATGTTCATCTATCTTATATAGTATGTTTAACACAGATTGAACATTTTTCCATTTTTCCATGGATCTAGAATTGGGGACGTTTCAGCCACATTAGTTCTCCCGAACTTTGCAAGGCCTGGTTCATTGGCATTGGCACCCCATGTTTCAACCGCCACCATTGAGAATCAATGACTGGTTTTCCATTGAGAATCAGTACATGAATCCAAAATTGACGTGCCCCTTTTTTGCTTGTTAAGGAGCTTAGCTTTTGCCACCCATCATCACCATCCCCTTTGGATGGTTGCCCCATGTGCGAGGCTGAAATCCTCCCATGTGGCCTTTGGGAAATGCAACACCCTGGTACCCTTCTGCTCATACCAAAATGCTTGTTGTAAATCTGGATTATGTTTCTAAACTAAGATCCCTTCCAGTCATATGGTATTTCATAGATAACTTGTTTCATCCCAATATGAATCTATCCCATTGTAATACATTGTAATTCATTCCAACCCTATATCATTTTGTCCCGTGACAAACCATTACATCCTAATATATCCCCATTGAATCCTGTCTCTGCCCAGGCCCGCCTTAGCCGTAGTTTGCACCCCTGTGCTTCGTAAGCTGCTTCGTGTGCTGGTCGGGGCCGTGCTGCTTCCGGCCCTGGTGCTGTCTCGGCCGCTGCTTTGGATGCTGGTCCTGCTGGTCCTGGGAGATGAGCCAGGAAGAGACCTACATTACTCTTTACTCTTTGTGTACCCTCTGGTAATTTAACATAGCTATTGAAAATGGCCTATTATGGTGGATTTTCCCATCAAAAATTGTGATTTTCCATAGCTACGTTAAATTACCAGAGAGTAACATGAATGTTCATGCATGCATATACTTGTTATACTGCTCATGTACAGTATTTGTCTACATATAGGCGCAAGACGACTGGTTTGCCGTCGCCAGGAATGCAAATGTTTGTCTTTATGCAGCCACGGAAGCTTCTTTGCTCTTTTGCAAACTGCAGAGCTAATGTTGGATACCGATTAGTGTCATGGGCCTCTATTGTGAGATTTTTTTTTAAAAAAAAATGGGTATCCTGCAAATGGTGGGGGTGGGCCTCTATTGTGAGAGTTTATTCTCAGATCCAATTTTTTCAGGAGGAGTTTTATCCACCTTTATACACCTTTCTTTGGGTAAAGCTGGTCCATTTACGAAAAAAGAAAGCCATATCCATGTTAAAGCCTTGAACATGCCAATGGTTCCCCAAATAAAAAAAATATGCCTTTGGAACATGCTTTTCTGTAGGCCTGCAGCGCTGCTGCCAGGACCTGTACTTTTTTCAGTTTTCGTTTGAACAACCCCCCCACTCCCCCAGACAAACAGCACGAACTGACATGAGTCTTTTCAAGCGACGGCGAACCAAAAGTCCTGAGGTATATATATATATATAAACACCATATATCTCTATCGATACATAAAGATGATGCAATATACATGTGGTTAGAGGATACACCCTAGGGATAAATATGTACACGTATATATCTATCAATATGTTTTTTGTTTGATCAAAATATCTATGGAGTATTGATATATCACTATACAGTTTTAAATTCATTTATGTGCATCCATCAATGTATCTGTATCATCTATGTATCTATCAATATCTGAAGATATCTATCTGGATTTGCCAACCGGTGTATCTAAGAGCCTCTATATGAATGTACCTGGATCTATCTGAATCTATCTGAATCTATCTGGCTAATTCTACCTCACTCGATGTAATTCAATCTTCCTATCGATCAATCTAACTGTCTATCTATCTAACTAGCTAGTTTGCTATCCAATCTATTCATCTATCTACCTACCCACCTACCTACCTACCTATGTATCTATCTATTTATCTATCTATCTATCGATCTATCTATCTATTGATCTATCTATCTATATCTATATCTATCTATATCTATCTATATCTATCTATATCTATCTATATCTATCTATATCTATCTGTATCTATCTATATCATTCTATATCGATCTAGATCTATCTATATATATATATATTCTATCTATCTATCTGTCTATCTATATCTATCTATATCTATCTATATCTATCTATATCTATCTATATCTATCTATATCTATCTATATCTATCTATATCTATCTATACCTATCTATATCTATCTATATCTATCTATATGTATCTATCTATCTACATCGATCTATATCTATCTATATCTATCGATATCTATGTACAGAATATCGATCTCTATCTATCTATCTCAATCTATCTCTATCTATCTCAATCTATCTCAATCTATCTCTATCTATCTCTAACTATCTCTATCTATCTCTATCTATATCTATCTTTGTATCTATGTATCTATGTATCTATGTATCTATCTGTATAACTGTCTATCTCTCTATCTACCAATCTATCTATCTATCTATTTATCTATCTATTTATCTATCTATTTATCTATCTATCTATCTATCTATCTAACCTATCTAATCTATCTAATCTATCTAATCTATCTAATCTGTCTAATCTATCTATCTATATATCCATCCATCCATCCATCCATCCATCTATCTATCTATATGTATCTATCTATCTATCTATCTAATCAATTTAATTATCTAATCAATCTATCAATCAATCTATCTATCTATCTATCAATCTATGTATTTCTCTATCTACCTATCTATCTATCTATCTATCTATCTTTCTATCTATCTATCTATCTATGTATCTACTATCTATCTATCTAAACTAATTTGATCTGATCTAAGTTTATCTAATCTAATCTAATCGAATCTAATCTAATCTAATCTATCTGTCTATCTATGTGTCATTGTAAACCTGTGCGTTAACATGTTAAACATTCGTATGTTTAATGAATTCTACTAGTATGCATTGCATTAATATGTGCATTGATATGTTTATCAATATGTGTCAATATTGTATTAGTATGTCTATCAATGTGCGTATTAATATGTGTATTAGTATGCCTGTCAAGATGTTTATTAATATGTGCATTAGTATGTCTATCAATATGTGCACAATACATTAAAGATAAAAACAAAGCAAAACACATCCACTGTGTGTATACATGAACGAAAATAACAAACACAATCATGGGTTAACAAATTGAGTGAAAATCAAATTGTATACTTACTAACAATAAACACGTATATGTATGTATAAATATATACTGTATATATATATATATGCACACACTGCTTAAACACAGAATCTTGTATACTAAGAATCTCTTGAATCACTCTTTGTAACTACAAAACGCATGAACACGCACTTGGATCATTCACGAGCTTGATGGCCACTTGTTGCCGTCCAAGATGGTTCAGGCAGTCGGTTCAAACATTATATACCCTGTAATAATCTAACAGTTTGCCACGGAAAATTATCACAGAGTAGGCATTGGCAGAGCCATTGTAAGGAATCCCATTCATAATGGTGGGATGACCATATTCCATATACCATGTAACTTGACCATGGCACAGTGCGGCCCTCTGGTAACCTAAGAAATAATACTTAAATCATCTCCAAACGGGCCATTTTCCATTTTTTGCCTTTGTCAGACTTCCAGCTTCCTGGAGACTCGAGAGGATCTTCTAGAGCTTAGATCGCTATTTGGTGCTTGTGTAAAGGCCTAGCACCGTCGAGGTGATCCTTTCTCGATTCCTAATACAAAGTGCCGGAAAATCTCCGTAATTTTTCGCAAACCCCAGAAAAAGATTGATGCTTCTGTTAACAAAAAATAACAAAAAACTGTTGCAAATTATGTTCAATTGAAGTGTTTTCCATCTTTTTGTAATTTACTATAGACAAAATTCCCGAACAAATGTGGATTGTCCATTGCCATATCTGGCCAGCGAGGTAATCCCATGAAATGAACAACTCAAGTTTGATGAAGGATGTGGCAATAGTTGATGCGGTGATGGATCAAACCCTGTTCTGTAGTGTCATATATTCATTCTTATATCATATTATTTATCAGTTATATGTTTTTTTTGAATCATTTAGACGCATAAAAACCCAGCGCACAAGCCACTGTGGCGTGAACAGCAAGGTGCCAAGGTTTGATCTATGATATCTATGGGTCTAAGAATGTGTGTCTAGGATAAGAGAGTCTCGGTGGCCGCCAAGAGCATTAGTCGAAATACAAGAAAGTTGGTTTACACACAGAAGAAAAACAGATCCAAGTGATCAGAAACGATTCTGTTTTTCTTCCACCAAAAAATCGACGGCCCATGTTCCTTCGCAATCCCCCAAGTCAGTTTGGGTTGACTGGATGCCTTGAAATCACCTTGAAATCATGGTTCCCTATGGTGAAGCGAGGTCGCGTTTCGAATGGTGGGATCAGCATCAAACCTGACCCGACTCCGGATCCGATATGATCTGCACCTCGTACTTTGGTGCGAGCTTGCCCTGGAACAACTAGGGAACGATGTCATGGGAAGTCATGGGATGTCATCGATGAAAATAAGCCCCGATGGCGAATTTTTTTGGTTTTACCACAGCATTATGAAATAAGAAACTGGTTCAAAATGATCACTCCTTCAAAAGACTGATCTATTTTATGATCTAGTCATTAAGGCCGGGCAAAACACTTTGTGGTTGTGAACTGGAAACGCATGTTCGACACATACGCATAGAATACCATCCTCCATGGTTAACGCTGGCTCACATTCCTCAGGATCATGTTCCGTTTATGCTCCTGGTATGGTTCCCAAATTACAAACCTTAAAAAAATGGTGATTTAATGGGATAAATCCATACACACACATATATATATATATACATTTGCATATATATATACATTTGCATATATATATATACTGTATATGTATAATATGTATTATATCTTTTGTATTGTATGAAAATTTAGATCTAACATATATAAATATATATATATTATATGATATATAATATATACATACATACTCAATATTATATATAATATATACTTCTTTTTGCTATCTAATGTATATTATATGTTGTATCTAATATCTAGTATATGTTATATCTAATGTTTACTAATATATATATATATATAGTTAATTTCTTTTACATGTGATATATTTAAAAAAATATATATTGTATATTTTAAGTTACCTGTTAGATATGTTGCTTTTTATTTATACATTATTATTATACGTATATTATTACTTATTGTTATATCTAAAAACAATATTTTATATAGTGTTTTTTTTAATAAATATATATATATATTAAAACAAATTATTTCCATGATGTTTATCATAATATATATATGATGAAATTATTGTTTTTATACATATATATATATATATATTATTATTTTACCATTATATATTTATTATGAAATGTTATCATTATGTATATATATATATATATCATATATTGATCCTGATAACTGGTATGTGATATCGACTGACGACATAGGCCATCAACCCCAGCAACCCCATCAAGCCCCAGCAGCCTCCGGGGTGCGATGTCTGCAGCCTGGCTCTCTAATCAAGTGTGAGAATCCCCTCTATGACTAGTACAATCCCCAAACTAATCCCCCATAATCAATTGAAATATCATTCCCCAACAGCCAAAAAAAATTGCTATGGCTGCGATATTAGTGCGATCCGGCGCGATCCGGTGCAGCTTCAACACCAGGTTCCGGAAAAGATTCCGGAGGGTTCTGCTGCAGATACTTCGTGAGGTTCCGGAGGGTTGGTTCCGGTGCAGAGTGAAGATACCTGCTGAGGCTCCGGAGGGTTCTGTGCGGTTCCGGAGGGTTCCGATGCAGGTACTCGGTGAGGTTCCGGAAGGTTACGGCGGTGCAGATATTTGGTTAGATTCTAAATGGTTTTGGTGCAGGTACCTGGTGAGGTTCCGGAACTTTCCAGTGCAGCTACCTGATGAGGTTCCGGAGGGTCTAGGTGAAAATGCGTGGTGGGGTTCCGGAGGGTTCCGGGGCAGATACCTTGTGAGGTTCCGGAAGGTTCCGGTGCAGACACCTTGTGAGGTTCTGGAGGGTTTTGGCGGAGAAGATGCTTGGTGAGGTTCTGGAGGGTTCCGGTGCAGATACCTTGTGAGGCTCCGGAGGGTTCTGGTGCAGATGCTTTTGTGAAATTCCAAAGGGTTCCGATATTTTTTTATGGCATAAGCACTTAATCTTTATGGCATAAGCAAAAACGCAGAAGCTTTCAAGCTGTTGGGGATAGCACCTGAGTTCATGGTTTCATCCCCCAAACTCATCCCCGAACTAAGGGTGGGATCGTGAACCCGTTCCACGATCCAAGGGGAAAATCTGAGCAATATTGTAAGGAAGCTTCTGGAACTCTGACAAAGGCTATAGGAAAATGGCCCGTTTGTAGATGTTCTTAGATTTACCAGAGGGTATATGTGCCATAGTCAAGTTGTATGCTATATGGGGTGTGGCATGCATGGGATGCCTTACAATGGCTATATTATATACTCCCTATCAATGAATTTTTGATGACCATCCCCCAGTATGTATGGCATGTATATAATACAACTTGTGTGGGTTTGTTTAACATAGACTACCCCATGGAAATAAGGCGGCATTCTCATCAAGTTCCCGTCAAAATGTTCAGAATGACCAGTTTGGGGTATACCGGTATACCCCATTTCTGGACGAGCCAATACAACAATGTGTTAAGCAAGAAAACTCACTGTATAAGCTAAGAGCAAGGATGCAAAAACTACTCGTAGAAAAACTAGTCGTAGATACCAGCCGCAAAACTAAATTATGTTTATATAATATAGCTGGGCACGAAATATGTCCCCATCAAAATGGCAACACAATCAAAGCGTTGAGCTAGCCAAGTTTTATACAGAAACTATTGCAATGCACACTAATATAATCAATGCTGATCATAATCCAAACTCGACGAGCAATGTTCGAAACATTTGAAACCACCAACCGCTTCAGATTGCTACCCTGTGGTTATCTGACCTGAAGAAGTTCCACGATCTTCCCCAAAAGAACTTGGAGCCAGCGCATGAAAACAATATTCTTGAGGAGACTTTTCACAACTGCTCAAACGTGCTTTCAGTTTTTTCAACGAAAACAGATCTTTAAAATTATTTGACTACCATCTGCTTATTTAACATAGCCATGGAAAATCACCATTAAAATAATAGGTAAACCATCTATTTCTATGGGCCATCTATACCATGGCTATGTTAAATTACTGGAGGGATCTAGAGGGTATGTATCCCATATGCTCCATGTATGGAATATTTACCAACATTTGCCCCAAGAAACACCCAAATGTAAGTAAATATACCATACATTGAGCATATGGGTATGGCAAGATCCCAAGATAACACTATGCCCCTGGATGCCAATGATCCACTTTCCCTCTTAAGGGGTCACAACGGTCACCCAGAAGCGCCTTGGCTCTCTCGGCGGACTGACTCGACGCCAAGCGGCTCACGGGAGCAGACTGACAGGCGGACTGGAGGCCCCCTTGTTGTGGGAGAAATGGTTAATCTGTAGGATTTAATGGGATTTAATAGGATTTACTGTTAATGGGAATACCATAGCATATAATTTACCGAGACAGTCACACCTGAAATAATAGGGACATAGAGACATAATCCAAGAAAGAGTCAAAGAGTATTCCCCCCTTGCGACTATCATTCACCTAGACTGCCATACCCCTATAGGAATACGCATGTCTTTTGTTGCATTAAGAAAGAGAAGAACATTAACGGAGTCCCCTCTACCTCATTCTACATCATTCTGCGTCTGAAAATTGACCCCAAAATCCCATGAAACCACTTATCATCATGTTCCCCATTCAAATGGCATAAAATGGCACTTATGGGGTGTTTACTATACCCACATTTTCAGACACACCAGGACACACCACAATATCCTAGTGTCTCGGTAAATTATATGCTATGGTATCCCCATTAACATTAAATCCTATTAAATCCCAATTAAATCCCATTAAATCCACAGATTAACCATTAACATTCCATTAAATCTCACGTCTTATGGATTATATAAACCCCATGGAATGCTTCCAGGATTGACCTCACGTGCTCATCCTAGCCTAGCCCTGAAACTCCATGGCTTACTGGGCTGCTAGGAAAATCACCATGCTTAATAAGTACACAAAATCATGGAACCAAATCTGGTTGGTGGTACACCTACCCCTCTGAAAAATATGAAAGTCAGTTGGGATTGTTCATGGGCCATGGGCCATGTTCATCCATTTTCCTTTTCCATAGCTATGTTAAAATAGCGGAGGGTATTGCAGAAGTTCCCCCAGTCGTGGCTATCCAACCTTTGACAGGATGCGATTTCGACACTTGCTGCATGAAGCATGGGGTGACTGTTGAAAAATGGGCGAAGATTGTGGAAGCATCTGACAGAATCTGACATTATCGGAAACCGCAAGCAGCCAAAACCGAAACTGGCGAAACAGTTTTGCTGCTAAAATCTGACTTGTTCAGTAGGCGTAGGCTGTTCCAAAGGTGCACACTTCTTGGTTGGCAGATGTGCGCATGCTTTTCCCTTGGGCACAATGCACTACTTCAAAAGTATGGTAACCTGTAGAAATCGAGAAAGGGCAAACACTTTAATCATTGCTTCAAAAAAGAAGGGGAGAGAACAACAAAATTTCCTCCAGGGAAAATGCAAAAGACATCAAAAGACACATAATTGTTACCATGAAAGTTCTGAAGAATCATCACGAGTAGCCGGTCTGCAACAAGCAAAATGCAAAATTTCATGATGAACTTCAGCCGCAAATCACAACTATAAGCAACGAAAAATACTGAGCCAATAGCCACAGGGCATCCAACGAACAGGTTGGCAAAGCGACATTTCTACAGATTCATTGCTGCCATAATCAGGCTGGTGAATGCAATGTCCCTTCGAGATTGTTGATGTGGTAAAAACCCATCCCATGTGCTCCATGGTGCTGGAATATGAATCCCAATATTGGCTCCAAAAAACACCCAGCCATGTAGGTAAATATACCATACATTGATATACATTGAGCATATGGGCATGCAAAGGCCAAGAAATTTGGCCAAGTTGATCATTGCCATGAAATTGTCGGGTGGATCCAGCCGCCCCAGGATGCCCCAGGATTTCGGTGCCTGAGTCAAAGTGTCATGTCGCTCATGTTCCTGACAGAAACTTCTCGTGAACGTCGTTCCATAGCTTACTGGCTTTATCCAATGATACTGTGGATGGGCCAGCGAAATCCTGCATCACCAACCGGATGGTTGAAACATGTTGAAACCCTAAAAATAGTGGGATGTTTACCACCTATCAACTGGTTCAGGATTTCTTCCATCCACCGTTTTTTAAACCATCTTGGATGATTCTAATCCAGTTGGATTGTAGTCATTCCCATACTGCCATAATGTTTATCCAATCATTCCAATCCCATTGGTTTCACGTTTGAATGCTGGTCTTCAAGCACTTTCAGGACTGAGTCAACAGCATACCACAGTACAATTTATGGTTTACGGCAAGAGCCTACGGCTTGCCTGGAACTGGAAATGGCTTTGACGATGATGATGATGATGATGATGATGATGATGGTGATGGTGATGATGATGATGATGGTGATGGTGATGATGATGATGATGATGATGATGATGTTGATGTTGATGTTTATGCCTACGGCAGGAAAACCGTACGTGCGTTTTGCTTCTTTTTTGAGTATTGCTCTTTGTCTTGGGGTTGGGGTGGGGTGGGGGGGCATGTTAACGTTCCTTGTACTTCGTACATGATATATTGCCATGTTGCTAAGATCTCGGGGATCTTTTACTACGTTACGTGTTGCTACGCTGCTGAGATCTCTAGTGTGGGTTGGGGTCGGGGTGGGGTGGGGTGGGGGGGCATGTTAACGTTCCTCGTACTTCGTACAGGATATATTGCCATGTTAGTGTGGGTTGGGGTTGGGATGGGGTGGGGTGGGGGGGCATGTTAACGTTCCTCAAACTTCGTACAGGATATATTGCGATGTTGCTAAGATCTCTGGGATCTTTTACTACATTACATGTTGCTACGCTGCTGGTATCTCTGAGATAGTTTCCTACGTTACAGGTTGCTGCGCTGCTGAGATCCTTGGGATCGTTTACTACGTGACATGTTGCTACGCTGCTGAGATCTCTGGGATCTTTTACTACGTTACATGTTGCTACGCTGCTGAGATCCTTGGGATCGTTTACTACGTGACATGTTGCTACGCTGCTGAGATCTCTGTGGAATTTGGCTAAAAAAAATTGTGCCTAGCAATTTGCAGACAAAGGCAGGGCAGAACAAAGATGTCATGCTATACCTGCGTTGCTGGCAGTGGCGTTATGAGTGCCATAATGGCAACTTGCTGTCGAAGACAGCTTCCACACTGATGGATCGCTGAGCCGACGAAGAGTGTGAAAAAAAATCTGCGCATCCACGTCTGATGCACATGATGTTTACCTGGATTTGTTAAAAATCAATAGATTTTGCATCCACTTTTTTTAACCCAAATTCAGTTATCCAAACTGATCGGAAGAGCATTTTATATTGTAAATTACAGGTGATTGTGACTCTCCTGGAAGCAACCAATCAAAATGCTCGCGCGGTTTCCCTTCCGCCGGGATGTTTATGATGTTGCTGATGATGTTGTTGATGATGATACCTGTTATTAATGGTGTTGTTATTGTTACTATTATTATTAACTATTATTGTTACTATCACTATCATTATTATCATTATCATTATTATCATTAAGTTTATTATTAGTATTATTTGTACTTATTAACTATTATTGTTATTGCTACTATTATCATATTATTATATTGTTATATATCATTGTATATCATTATATCATCATGATGATGATGACGACTAACATACCCTGCAAAACTGCTGTTCGGCTGGCATCAACAGCTAAATTTGAGCTGGCATTACTCAACCAGGTTTACCCAGATGCCTGGAGTTTTGCTTTGATCCATGGCCAAAACTCATCACCCAGGGTCACCCAAGGCACCAGTAGTGCATGTAGAAACCATGACACAGCCAGAATATATATATATATATATGGTTTATGAAAATGTGCTTATAATAGTGATTAATAGTGGTTAATAGTGGTTATTAGTGATTAATACCTGATCTAATGAATAATATCTCTGGTTGGTGGTGCATCGTGCCCATCTTGAAAAATGATGGACTTCGTCAATGGGAAGGACTATCCCATATATATATATATCTAATCTAATATCTAATCTCTGGAAAATTTCCCGAATCCAAGGGAATCATCGGTAGTCATATCGCCCCGCTAGCCGCCTTGATTATTGTGGTTCCTTCTCAAATTTGCGTCCCAGCTCTATGCATTGCCCAGAATGAGGAACATGAGGTGAAAACCACTTCAACGCAAATTTTGCAAATTTTGAGAGGTAGCATCTGTTTTGATGTTTGGATGCCTGTATGACACAGTACATCTCAAACAGATTATGGGCTATAGGCTATACTATATGTGCTATAGTCAAGTTACATGATATGGGTTATGGTCATCCCACCATCATCAGGGATCGTAATGGAAGATGTGTGTTGCATCCTGGCAAAAATGCGGCCTCATCGGAATCGAAAACGGTCGAGGCATCGTCGAATTCGTTCAAGTCATCTAAGAAGTCGTCGACTGGGCCGCGATAAAGCTGGAAATCGGAGTTACTGTACCCTGCATGAATGCCACAGGTTCCCTGCATGATCTGGAACAGAGAAATATATCGAAAAAAGATGCCACATCTGAACAATGCCCTTTTTTTTCTGGTGAAAAACGGAGGAAAATGATGGATTTCTTGTTCCCTTCCAATAGCTAGTTCTCTGGAACGAACCAGGTGAACTCAATCATCCAGATGTGTCGATCAACATGGACTTTGAAGCATCGAGGTCAACGACATGTACTTCTCGGGCTGACCATCATTTATGGTGAGGTCATTCTTCTGTGGCTGGTTGGTGGTTTTTCGCCAACCCCTCTGAAAAATGATGGACTTAGTCAGTAGAGATGATGAAATTCCCAATATATGGAAAAAAAAATCATGTTCCAAACCACCAACTAGGTGAAAAGATGACCAATGATGTTGGTCTCCAAGTTTCTTGCTGCATTGACAAATGCAAGTCTTCATGACAATTCTCTACAGCTACTCCGGTGCTGGCTTGACATCCCTACAAGGTTGCCCGGGCCCCCTCGAGAAATTGGTGTATAATTGCATGTCATGTTTTTCTGATAGTTACCATGATGATTCATGAAAATGTGATAACAGTGTATATAGTTGGTTGTTAAACACCATGGTAATTCATGGCATGAATACTATACTATAGTTATATCGAGTGGCCTCTGGAAACTTAACATAGACCCTGCCTTTTTGAAGGGTTGGAAGATTAGTTTCCACGAAAAATTGGTGATTTTCAATGATTTTCATGGTTCTCTGTTCAGTTGCCAGAGAGCAAAAAAACCCGGCCCCTTGTTCAAAAATCGGAGCTCACCAATTTTTCAGATTGGAAAACTCCTGGAAAACTCCTGGTGGTCTCAACGAATCCCAAAAAATGGTGCTATTACTGTTACGCGCAAACCCCCCAGTTCGCCCACACAACTTCTTAGGGATTTTGAAGGAATATAAATTCCGACCCCCGTTAAACTTTACATTCAATTGGGAAGATCAACAAGGGTAGTAGGGAATATTACAGTCCCACCCCAGTTAAATTTCTACATTCATTGAAGATCTTCAATAAGGGTTTAATTCTCCCACCCCCGTTAAACTTCCACAATCATTGAAGATCTTCAATAAGGGTTTTGTTTTCCCACCCCGTTAAACTTTTACATTCATTGAAGATCTTCAATAAGGGTTTTGTTTTCCCACCCTGTTAAACTTCTACATTCATTGAAGATCTTCAATAAGGGTTTTGCTTTCCCACCCCGTTAAACTTCTACATTCATTGAAGATCTTCAATAAGGGTTTGATGATGATCATGATGATGATGGTGATGATTCTGATGATGATGATGATGATGATGATGGTGATGATGACGATGTTGTTGTAACATTGTAACATTCAACGCACAGGTAGCTAAGCTGCGCGTTGCAAGATGAAAGCCACGATCATGGACATGTGCATTTTGTCCCACAAAACACAGTGTTTTTTGATGTTCGGACACGTCGTCCGCGTCGGCGCGGGCAAACTGAAGGGTTTTACCGTACTAGTACTATTACTATTACTATTACTATTAATGTGCTTATAATAGTGATTAATAGTGGTTAATGGTGGTTATTAGTGATTAATACCTGATCTAATGAATAATATATCTGGTTGGTGGTTTAAACCCCTCTGAAAAATGATGGACTTTGTCAGTTGGGATGATGAAATTCCCAGTCAATATGGAAAGACATAACATTCATGTTCCAAACCACCAACCAGATTACTATGAAAATGTTTACATTCATGTGTGTGTGTGTCTATTATCAAATTACCATTATTGTTGTTGTTTATTGATATTCTTACATATGATTACCATTATCAGTGCAATTGTTGTCACTATCATGCATCTCATTGTGATTATGGTGATTATTGCGTTTGTCTAGTATTACCATTATTATTGTAGCTATCAGTGTGATAAATGGTGTTGTTGCCAGTGTAATTCTCATTATTTTCATGGTTAACACTATTATTGCTACTGTTGTTTTTGTTGATGTCATTATCAGTGTTGTGGTTACAGTTCTTGTCATTGTTCTTACTACATATACAAATATACAAGGTGTGCGTAGAGAGTCAACTTGGATCATTTTTCCACGTGTGAGGATGGAAAGCGTGAAACAAATATTGAGGATCCAATGGACCATGCTCCCCATTTTTTTGTGGCTATCCACAACATTGCCGGTTCAAGCTGTGCCCGGAGGTCAGAAATCACATGCAAGGTGGTGGCCCCCCTACTTCTAAATTGGTTTTTAAACCCCATTAACTATCGATATATCACCTATAAACCATAGTTATTGGAATTGTAAACCAACTTAGCCATCTTGGGGGCAGCACCTTGTATGTAATCTCCTTGGTTTCCGAAAAATAGAAATTTACTTTCTGGAGCATTTTTGCATATCATAGATATCGATGTTTCTAAAAATCATTTATTTGTGCTGGCTCATTTTTCGAACTACCTTTCGACCCTGGTTTAAACTACCATAAACCTATAAACATGGGAACTTCCGATATATAGCTATGTTAACATTGGATTTCCCATGTTTTATGGGATTTACCCGGCAATTCAACGTACCATAGCGTATCTCGGAAGTCACCGAATTTGTTTATGGCAAGTCATGGAACTAAATGGGCCATAAGTAGCCATCAGTAGCCACGTGTTAAATTACCACAGGTCCGGACCCACCATCCACCAAGATAGTATACATTCCCATAAATTTAAGCGTGAAAATACCTGGAGAAGCATCCCACGAATCGTAAGTCGTTAGTAAGTCTAAGTGGGGCTGTAACCTAGTTATAAATGTGATACCCTTCAGTAAATTAACATAGACCCTGGCAGATAGGGATTGGAAGATTAGTTTCCACTAGAAAACTGTTATTTTCAGGGTCTATGTTGATTTACCAGAGGGTAAATTCACTACTTGAGGTTTGTTTTGCCTGGCTTGTGGACCCAGCTCAAGTAGGCATCATTTAGGGTGTGTCCCCTGCCAGGTCACGTCTATAATTTCCATTCTGGGATTACTATACTGTAGAGATACAGACTAATACTATGATGTATCTCAAAAAAAAACATATATGTATATAATATGTATATATATATAGATAATTATAGATATATTGCCATATTGCTATTTATATATTTTTGGAGGGGTTTCTACCATTACATTGTAATTTGCAAATCCATGCCCCTTTAAAAAGGGGGGGGGGTTTAAGTTTTGGCCGACACCAGCAAGGCAAACGACCGGCGCACAGTGGCCTTCATTCTTCCAGGACTTCTTCTTCGGCGACGGCGTAGCTTCCAAGAGACGCTGCCCTGGCATGAAGTTCCTGCAACGGTGGATCCCTTGGAAAGGATGCAGCTGGGGGAGGAAAAAATCCATGGGGTTTTAAATATAGGCTGTGTGTATATACATGTATATATCATATATTATATATATAATGTGGTCACACCCACCACCAGAACCTACCTTTAGCATTATTTGATGGTATTTACAATTTAAAACAAATCCCCCTCATCCAGCCCGATGACTGCAAAACCAAGCTTCACTGTAGCCCCTTCCTCGGAAAAACACATTTCCAGCAGGATGAAACTGGTACAGGTTTGTTCTCATTTTGGATGATAATGATTCATGATGGTGATGGTGATGATGCTGATGATGATTACCATTCTGATATATATATATATATATTCTGATCATGATCGTCGATCATGACTATTCTTCGTATGATAAGAATGTTCCACGCTCCATCAAACCAATCAGTATAACTTACCTTGTTTCAGCCTCAAACGCCACGGATTGTGATGGATTACTCATGCTTATTCACCACCAAAACACTCGTGTATTGGATTACATACAGTAGTTCAAAGTTCGCATCGAACCAGTTGATCTAGCCCAAAGATTTTGTTTGCAATGGTCACGTTGCATGGAATTAATATGGGTTATGGTCACCTCTGAAATTGGGAACCAACAGCATTCATTCCCCATAGAAATTCCATGATTCGCGGATAGTGGTGCTATGACTATGTATTAGCCTCTGGTAAACGTTTACAAAACTATGGAAAATCACCATGCTATTAATGGGTAAATCAACTATAAAGGTGCCATTTTCAATAGCAAACTGTTTGTTTACCAGAGGGTACATCCTAAAGTGGATAGAACATGTTTTTTCCAAAGATATTCCTATTCTACTTGGTGATGATGTTTGAAATGTCCATATTCCATCATATTCTATCCACTCTAGCATGACTATAGTTTTACAGCGGTCTTACCAAAAAAAAAGTCCCATCATCCAATTCTGGGGGTGCTACGTCTTTCCACAGAAATAAGACAGAAACATCTATGAAGCTGGCATGGATTACAATGACATAATTGTTTCTTGATCTTGTACTTATGCAATATCACATGAACATGCTTCTCCAGTGCTGGTTTATACAATTCGACTGCAGGCATCCAAGTCGGTATCTGATCATCAAATTCTTATCAAACGTGGCTGGAAAATGTTCCCCAGCTGAACTCGACGATTTCCCATAAATTTCCATCCATATCTGGTTGGTGGTACACCTACCCCTCCAAAAAATGATGGACTTCGTCAGTTGGGATGATGACATTCCCAATGGAAAGTCATAAAATTCCATGGTTCCAAAGCACCAAGCAGATATTGAATTTCCCAGCATTTTCCCATGATGTTCCTATGATTTTCCCATGGCGGCAACAACGGGACCGCGGGGAATTCCCTGCCGATATCAACTGGGAGAACGGGAGAAGCGAAGAGTTCGGGGACGATGTTCCAGAGTTTGCTGAACTGAAGTTGGGATGATGTTCCAAGGTAATAGTTAACCAGTTCAGTCGGTGATGATGAATTCCAAGTAGGCAATAACATGTTATAACCATTGAAAACCAATATTCCAGCACAATATCCCATAAATATTCCATAATACCCCCCTGAGATCCACATGGCCACCATGAAACGATGGAATTTCAAGGCCAAGGAGCATAAATCCCTCTGATGTGGAAAAGTGGCAAGAAGTCATCTTCTAACATCTGACCCATCACGAAGAGTTTCACCTCGAAACATTTGAACGAAGGTTTCCTAAAATGGATGTTACCCCCCATCCAATCTAATAAGATGTTCCACTATTGTTCCATTGCATAAATTATAAACCATTATTTTTTGAATATTCCCCATGCAAAGAAACCTCCATGCTGAACCCCCCCAAAACAAACAGTGGACAAAAAGATGTTTTTTTTGAAGCATTCTCCCACCTTGCGCCGGCACAAGATAACTGGAAAGCGACCTCGGTCGTGGCGCACAGATGGGTTTTCCATGGTTTTCCACATATTTTTCGAGTTTTCCCCAGAATAGCTTTAAAAAATATCCCGGCAAGAGACCCCAACAGTGTGGGGGAGTGGGAGGATTTGTATGACAGTGTTGATGATGATGATGATGATGATGGTGATGATGATGATGATTATGACGATGGCCAGGATGACAATGATGATGGTGACGACAAAGATGATGATACTGACGATGACGATGACGATGAAGATGACGATGATGATGATGATGGTGGTGATGATGATGATGATAATGATGATGATGACGATGACGACACACTTCGCGTGAGCCTGCGCAGTCCAAATGCATGTCAATACAGAAATTGTCAAGAAAATATGCCACAGCCCGAAACCACGGCCCACACTTTGTGCTAGCCTGCGGAGTCGAAACGCATGTCAAGATTTCACAAGAGCCACTTTATGGGGAAAATTTCAGGAAAAAAGCCACGGACCAAAACCACGGCCCACACTTTGTGTGAGCCTGCGCAGTCGAAACGCATGTCACGATTTCACAAGAGCCACTTTATGGGGAAAATTTCAGGAAAAAAGCCACGGACCAAAACCACGGCCCACACTTTGTGTGAGCCTGCGCAGTCGAAACGCATGTCAAGATTTCACAAGAGCCACTTCATGCAGAAATTTTAAGAGAAAATGCCACGGACCAAAACCACGGCCCACATTTTGTGCGAGCCTGCGCAGTCAAAACGCATGTCAAGATTTCACAAGAACCATTTTATGCGGGAATAACGCGCGAGACCAGAGTGAGCACCCTGATCAAGCACCGGCCTTTACACCTACCATAAGAACCCCTCAGTGTGGACACTCTGCTTGGGGAAAAACAGTAGACCAATGGGTTCACCATTTCCAGCTCGAAATTCGATGGGTTTGGCCACAACGGAGGTGAATATATCATGTTTATACATTTTGTGAGTAAACCTCTTCTCTTTCTGGCTAGTCTACTTTCTGATCAAAATTGCAAACAAGTACACATTCATCGATTACTATCTGTTTACCGGAAACGGGGTATTTTCCAGCATTCTACCTTACCCTACTGTGAATTTACACAACGGAGTGGAAAATCAGTGAAATCCATCATTAATCTAGACAATCTAGTTAATCTAGATAGTCTAGTTAATCTAGATAATCTAGATCATTTCGGGTGGAAACCACAGAAGCTTCCAGCTTCAATGTAATGACCCAAAAAAAATAGTTTTAAGTACTTCCATCACTATAAGTTAGAGGGATTATACCAAACACTATCTCTTGGGGATACTATATCAATCTCTCTGTTAATCAGTTCCATGCCTCAAAAATCACCTGTTCTAAAAAGTTTGCATTGATATCTGCCCAACTAGAAACCTCCATTTATAATGGATTTACCATGATTTTCCCTCTGGTAAACTAACAGTTTGCTATGGAAAATGGCCCATAGAAATAGATGGTTTACCTATTGAAAATGGTGATTTTCTATAGCAAACTGTTAATTTACCAGAGGGTATGTCAATCCCGCAACCCATGGTGCTGGTATATTTACCTACATGGCTGGGTAAAGATTGTTCCAATGATTTACCCACAGTTTCCCATGATGTTCCAATGATTTGTCGCATCAGCCGCCATTTTTCGAAGATTTTTCAGTCACCTGGGATTGATCTCCGCCCCTGCCGATCACCAAGGTGCGGAGGGTGGCTTTACGGAGATCGCCAATAGTGACCTGGCCGAAGATTTTCCAATCCCATGATTCATAGTTATGTATATATATATATAAATGTGTATATATATATATATGAATGTTTATTTATATATGTATATATGTATATATATAAATATGTATCTATATATATATATGCGTATACATATGTATGTAAAAATATGTGTATATGTATGTATATATATGTGTAAATGTAAATATAACTATATGTATTTGTATATATGTACATATGTATATATAAATAAATCTATATGCGTGCATGTATATGTATGTATGTATGTATGTATGTATGTATGTATGTATGTATGTATGTATATATATGTATATATATATTTGAAAATATATATATATGTAAACATATAAATATGTATATGTATATATGTAAAAAAACATACATGTATATATATATATGTATATAAATATGTGTGTATGTATATATGTATGAATATATATATATATATATATATGTATATATGTACATATGTAAATATTTACAAATATATATATATATGCAGACCTAAAATTATGTATATGTATATATGTATATTTCAAATGTAAAAATATATAAATATATATATATGTATATATATGTATCTATATATGTACATATATATATATATGTATGTATATGTATGTATATATATATGTATATGTCAAAATATGTATATATATGTAAATATATATATATATGTATAAATATATATATATGTATTTTTGTATATATGTATATATGTAAATATTTAAATATGTATATATGTAAATATAGGTAAATATATTTATAGATATATGTGTATCTAGTAAAAAAATATATATGTATGTATATGTATGTAAATATAAATAAATATATGTATATATGTTTATATGAAAAAATATGTATATGTATATATGTATATGTACATATATATATATGTATATGTACATATATGTAAATATGTACATACATGTATATGTATATATATATATATATGTATACATATATATATGTATATATATATACATATGTAGGTATATGTATGTATGTATACATATGTAGGTATGTGTATGTATGTATGTGCATGCATGTATGTATGCATGCATGCATGTATGTATGTATGTATATATGTATCTATGTATGTATGTATGTATCTATCTATCTATCTGTGTATCCTATTATGTATCTATCTATGTATCTATCTATGTATCTATCTATGTATCTATCTATGTATGTTAATATTTATGTATATATATATATATGTGTGTGTCCATTTATGTATATATTTATGTACATTTATGTCTATATATAGATATATTCATGTGTACATGTATATGTACAATTAAATATATATGTTTATAAAAATGTATATGTATATATACATATATGTATGTATATATATATATGTATATATGTGTATATATATATATATGTATATATGTATATATGTATTTATATATATATGTATATATGTATCTATATCTGTACAAATACCTATATGTATGTATATGTCTATGTATATGTATGTATATATATATAGATATATGTATAGATATATGTATAGATATATGTATGGATATATGTATGTATATGCAAATGTATATATATATATATGTATATGTAAATATATGTATTTATATATGTATATCTATATCTGTATGATTGTATGTATATATATATACATATCTGTATATGTATATGTATATATAGATGTATATGTATATATATATATGTATGTATATATATGTATAATTAAATATGTATATATCTATATATGTATACATATATGTATATATATATATATCAATGATATAACCATCAAATCCCATGAAAAATCACTCTGGTTAATGTATCTTGATACAATCCTATATGATTTCTGGCTGAAGGAGGGATAATAATTCCTGGCTGAAGGTGGATCTCACCAGCAACTTAATGGGATTTAATGGGATTGAGTTGATCATGGGGTATATCTGGTTGAATGATCATAGTTCGCAAACCTGAAAGTGGCAGAAGCTTGCAGCCAGGCTGATCCCCAGAATCGTCCCATCATTCCATAGGCAGAAAACGACGTGAGCTCATGATCAAATTAGCCATGAGGGACTTGAATGGGGATTTTTGATGTGTTTTTTTGGGGAAAATATAGCGGAAATGAAGATACCATGGACCTAGTGATTTCAACAAAAAGAAAATCAACACGACCCTGAAGCCATGGTGCCACTTTTAGCACGCTACCCATATTCCATAGCCTTGTGTGGGGTCTATGTGAGTCCGGGTATAACTTGGTTTATAAGCCTCATGAATAGTTTACAAAAATTTGCACCAGCGGAAAAAAAACACAGCCCCACCGACAGTAACCATGAATTTCACCGACACTTTGGTGAATTCAGTGGATCTAAATATGGGCCAGCGTCTGGTGGTCCCCCCCGAGATGGTGATGATCCCTATATGTAAGTTCTATAGTTATATATCTATATGTGTAAATAGTGTATGTGTGTACATATATATATATACACACACATACACGTGCGTGTGTATACGTGTATAGTATGTATACGTGCAAATGTATACAGTATGTATGTGTACGTGTCTATGCACATGTCTATGTATCCCTTCGCCCCTGTGGATGTGGTGGGGGGTGGGTGGGGGGTGATGGGGTGGGGAGGGTGGGGGGTTCGGAGGGTGGGGGAGGTAACCCCCCATACCATAGGGGGGAGAGGGGAGGGGGCCGTGAACACGGAACACGGGACCATCCATTTGCATAAAGGATAGTTAGAGTTGTTGGAACACAAACAATCACTGGACATAAGAAATAGTATGAGGGGTTCCTTAAACAAGACATGGTTTTGGGGTATATGTTACATACCCCAATTGTCAGAACCGCCCATTCGGCGTATGGAAAGCACATTTCACCACATCACCATCGAATGTGGAGAGGAGCATATATCAACATATCACCTTCGAATGTGGAGAGCACCAAGATAAAAAAAATGATAAAAACCTTGGAGAGCGCACCAAGACAAGATGCACATTCATAAAATGCCATAAAACAACAGAAAACACATTACCCTCTGGTAAACATACAAAAAGCTATTGAAAATGACCATAGAAATAGTTGATTTACCCATTAAAATCATTAAAAAATGTGATTTTCCAATATGCTGGGGATTATGATGCTCATACCAGGCATAAAACAGTGTGATTTTCCATCGTTTTTTGTTAACGTTTACCAGGCCGGCTACATCTTCGTAGTAAGCGCAGCTGGCTGCGCACCAAGACCAGCGATTGGGCCCTTCGGACATCCCAAACAAAGGACTCGGTGGTGAATACGTCACTGGAATCTTGGTGATCCAATTTAAGTTCCTACATTTCTGGTTATATTAGTGACTATATTAGTGAATAATAGCACTAAAGTGATATCACTGGTTATATCACTGATCTAATTCGGAATACCAAAGGACTAGGAAATTGTTATCCACTCGGAGGCTTAGTCACTGGAATATCATAGCGGTGATGAAAACCCTTCTGGTATTTCATGAAATACTCTCATGGTGCGATTTCGCGCATGTACTTTCGCGTTGCGAAATCGCGACCACACTCGTATCTGTATAATGTCAACACTGCATAAAGATTCGGTCTTGATGATTGGGGAGTAACCCCCCAAGATTCCTGTCATCAAGAGCCATGGAGAACTGTCCACGGCACCAATCGGTACCTCACAAAAGCAATCCTTTCTAAATAGAATACCAACAATATGTATATATATATAATTATATAATTAAAATCATGTATATATATATACCATATACAGTGTATATATACATAGTATAACCATACATAAAAATATAATATATACGTATATATATATATATATATCATACATATATATATATATCATATATATATATATTTATATCATATATATATATGATATATATATATGATATATATATATGATATATATATATATATCATATATATATATATTTATATCATATATATATATATGATATATATATATGATATATATATATGATATATATATATATATATGATATATATATGATATATATATATAAATCATATATATATGATATATATATATATATGATATATATATATATATGATATATATATGATATATATATATGATATATATATATATATGATATATATATATATGATATCTATATATATATGATATATATATATATATATATCATATATATATATATATCATATATATATGATATCTATATATATGATATATATATATGATTTATATGTATATGATATATATATGTATATGATATATATATATATATGTATGTATGTATAATTATATGTGTATGTATGTGTGTTATCATAGTTATCATAACCTGGATTTTTTGGTTATGAACAGTATATCTATACTTTTTGTTTCATGGCGCCTCGCCAGCCACGTCGAAGTACAAGGGCCGCTCCGTTCCAGTTTTGATGTCACGCAAATGCAGCCTCCCAACGGAACTCGGGTGCTGAAGGGGCAGAAATTCTCTGGCAACCAGTCATTAGGCTACCGCTTCACTCATCCCATGGCTGGCTGAAATATGTGTAACACCACCATGCTTCGCTGCCATGAAAAAGTCCATGTAACCTTGTGACATTTCCTTAAACCAGACTCTGGTGAAAGAGTCAACAAAGAACTGTCAAGTGAGCATGATTTTTTACATGATTCATGCCAATGCTACCGGTAACAGTGCTACCAGTACTTGACGGCCCACAGTGTTTGGCTGGTGGTCTGGAGGAATCTCAAAGTCATATCGCACCATTGCACATGGATATTTGTACGATTCATCCTCATGACGAAAAAAAACATCACAAAAAATCACAAGACCAAGACCTTTCCCAACATATCCCGGCATGTTGAACCATCATCTACCAAAAAACGATAGTTGTCAATGGAGATCATCATCCCAGGATGGACATATCCCCATTGCAACATACAACGCGCACACCTTTATACGTGTATAATATTATATACATATCAGATATTGTTCGTAGTTTTAGTAACTAGTATGTTTCTTATCATACACCTGGTCTATATATAGTCGTATATATAATGTATAATCATATATATATATATATTAATCATATATATATATAGAGAGAGAGAGTACTCCACCCACATAGAATATGGAATTGAAATTTTGGCTTCCCAGGGCATCCCCAGAATTGAAATTGAAACAGGATACTTAGAATACAGTTGACGTCAAAAAACCTATACTTGGAATATCGTTGGGCCATATAAATTCTTTCACTTTTCCAGACGAATTCGTTATTTTTCCATAGAAATTCTTCACTTTTCTTTATAATTCCTTCACGTTTCCATACAAATTCATGATTTTTCCATATTTTTGCCATGCAAATTCTTTCACTTGTTCAGTCAAATTCATCATTGTTCAATGTATTTTACCTTTTTCTTTATAAATCCTTCACATTTCCATGAAAATTCTTCACTTTTCCATATTTTTTTCCATATAAATTCTTTCATGTTTCCAGACAAATTTACTTTTTTCCATATAATTTCTACACTGTCCTATAAAAATTCTGCACGGTTCCATACAAATTCTTCAGTTTACCATATTTTTGCCATATAAATTATTTTCCCTTTTCAGTCAAATTCTTCACTTTTTCCAAGTATATTTCTTCCTTTTTCTTTATAAATCCTTCACATTTCCATACAAATTCTTCACTTTTACATATTTTTTCCATATAAATTCTTCCCTTCGGTGAGCTCGAAAACTTCATGTGTTTAATACAATATAAAAAGATATTTATTGATCAGTTCGGGGGACCTGTTTTTTTGTTGAAACGTTCTAGTTTACAGACTTCAGACATCCAGGATTGCTGCTCCCCAAAGGGAATTACGTATATAATATATACCCTTATACATGGAAGAGACCCAATTCCTTGCAGAACTACATACATAGAATATCGGTCCCCAGTGAAAATATTCGTCCATTTTTTCAGGAACGCAACCTACTTCCATTGGTTTTTATTGCAAAATAGTTTTTTTTCATAGTTCTACGACGCCGGTCGTGGGGGGTACCCTTCGGTGAGCTTTAAAAACGCATTTTTGTAATACAATATAAAAAGAAAATGATCATTTCGGGGACCTGATTTTTTTGTTGAAACGTTCTAGTTTACGGACTTCAGACATCCAGGATTGCTGCTCCCCAAAGGGAATTACGTATAATATATACCCTTTTACATGGAAGACACCCAATTCCTTGCAGAACTACATACATAGAATATCGGTCCCCAGTGAAAATATTCGTCCATTTTTGCAGGAACACCAACTAATTCCATTAGTTTTCATTGCAAATACTTTTTTCATAGTTCTCCGACACCGGTCTGGGGGGTACCCTTCGGTGAGCTTGAAAAAATCATTGTTTAAATACAAAATAAAAAGAAATTGATCATTTCGGGGACCTATTTTTTTGTTGAACCGTTCTAATTTAGGAACTTCAAACATCCAGGGTTGCTACTCCACAAAGGGAATTACGTATATAATATACACCCTTATACATGGAAGAGACCCAATTCCTTGCAGAACTACATACATAGAATATCGGTCCCCAGTGAAAATATTCATCCATTTTACCGGTTTTCATTGCAAAATAGTTTTTTTCATAGTTTTCCGACACCGGTCGTGGGGGATAACCTTCGGTGAGCTTGAAAAACTCATTTTTTTAATACAATATTAAAAAAAAAAGTCATTTCGGGGGACCTGATTTTTGTTGAAACGTTCTAGTTTAGAAACTTCAGACATCCAGGGTTGCTGCTCCCCAAAGGGAATTACGTATATGATATATATATATATATATAGATATAGATATATATATAGATATATATATATAGATATATATATATATAGATATATATATATAGATATATATATATAGATATATATATATATATAGATATATATACAATGAGATGGATATTGATATATATATATTGATATATTGAGATATATATATATATCTCAATATATCAATATTTAAATATTGATATATATATATATATATATTGATATATATATATTGATATATGTTGATTTATATTGATATATATATATATATTGATATATATATATATATGTATATATTGATATATGTTGATTTATATTGATATATATATATATATATATTGATATATATATATATATTGAAATATAATGATATATATTGATATATATTGATACATATTGTGATATATATATATATATATATTGATATATTGATATATATATATATATTGATATATATTGATATATATTGGTATATATTGATATATATTGATATATATTGATATATATTGATTTATTGATCAATATATATATATATATTGATATTTTGATATATACATACATTCCTTAAAGGTTGGGGAATAAGTCACCGGTTAGTCACTAACCCTCGCAGCGTCAGGTAAGCACAACCTTTTTCTCAACCCACATTCTCTGTGTTCTTCCAACCTGTATTCCTACAGGATAGTGCATTGGGTATGCCTATAGATCAATCAGCCCTGCTGATGGTGGCATTCTGTTCCAGTCAGGCTCAGATACTGGATCCTTCGAGGTATCAATTCACACCCAACGCACTAAGTCCCAATGCATTTAAAGAAACTCGGCCGTGCGAATGATGGCCGCTGTGGGAAGATGCCAGAGAATGGCTGGAAAAGGTGCTAGCTGCGCTGTGAAACCATTGGTTTTAAACCATGGGTCGTTCCATCCAAGCCGGCTGATCGAATCAGTCCAGTTACTTTTGGAAGGTACCCATTCCCAAAAGATCCAGGTCTTATAAGCAAAAAGCAATGCGTGGATTATGCCGCTCATGACTTCCAGATCTGGGGAGTCACTTCGCCCCTTGATCAACGTCATAAGGACCGCCACATTGTCAATGAACCACACTCCGCGCCTCTCGCGAAATCGGTGTGGTCTACAGACTAATGCTTGCAAGATGACAACCATCTCCAGTTGTGCAATCTTGCGGTCGCCTGGTTCCCACAGGGTATATACTTCCTGTGGCAAGTCTGCGATGAAAGCCTCCCTGGTGGGCCCAGGCTGATCCATCCAGACGATACAGAACCCCCCGGTGCCCTGCCCTGGACACTCCAGAGCTGCATCCGATGCACCTACAAACCGTAGGCATGGGGGAGGAAAAATGAAAAACTGACGTTTCGGCTTGTCCCGAAGTATCGCTTCGATGACTTCAAAACTCTTTAAAATTCGAGTTGTCAGGACAATACCCTTCTCATACTGTCTCTCCTTAATGGGGGCCAGACCTTGAGCGCCAATACGACCATAGGTGCCTTGCTCGAGGAAGTTCATCATGCCGTAGATCTTGGAAGCTGTACCTGAATGTAGTCGAGCTGAGGTTCGACAATCACGCACCAAAGTTTTGATCTTGTCGATGAGGCGTTGCCGGGGCCAAAAACTGATGGAGCCAGTAGAGTTCAAATGGGACATATCATGGTCTAAGCCGAGGAAAAGCCCCTGGCTGGACATGGGCTGATGCTTCTCCACCGCAAAGGGGGTACCAAGGATCTCATTGAGGTGTATAAATGCCATCTGCGACGCTCCTTTGGAGCTGGCCCAATCTACCACGTTTGCGTCATCGAAGTACATAGAAACCAAACAAGCAAGAAGGCGGCGCCCCAGTGCTTCTACAAACTTGGAATAGCGATTGAAGCTTGTCACTGCCAGTGGGAGCCCAAAAAGCAGGGAGTTGTAGAGCTGGAAAGCAGGTTGCTGCCACTCATCATGCCACCAGGTAACAACACAGCCAAGGCTCTCCTCCCTGGAGATTGGACTGTGTCGATAAGCGTCTGGCCAATCCTCGCCTCCGCTCTCAAAGTGGTCATGAGTCATGTGATGATCCCAGTCGCTCTGGGACATCCAGCTCGCGACTGCTGCAACGTGTTGGGCTGGTCGAAGTGCACTGCACAGTACCAGCTTGTTGAAGTCTGATGAAAGTGCCGATTGGCCACCCACTGCTGCATCATCGATGATACGCTTCTTACCACTTGGCTGCACAATGACACATCGTGTGATGAGCCGGAATGGGCGCCCTTTGGTGGCTCGCAAAAGCTCTGACCAAGTCATAGGCTGCGTGCCAAAGCCCTTGTCTGCATCCGCCACACTCTGTGACAACAGGAATTCATCATGAAGACCAGGTCGCAGCTTCGCGATAATGGCTCGGTTGTGCTCATCGGTGTCCTCAACTACATCGGCCAGGTTGATGATGCTCCCCTGTTGTGCCGGGAAGATGTGGTAACAAGGCGCCGTACCAACTGCCGGTAGCCCCGTGATAAGGCCATAGGGATAACAGGTATCCCCCCACTGGGCTATCACAACCAGCAGTGCAGTCAGCCCCAAGTCCCTCTTGGTGGTGACTCGTGCGATGGCGTCTGTTTGGAGAGTGCGCAACTGGTCTGTGACTGGGGTCCATCGC